TGGAAAACAACAATCTAGGAAATGTAGTACACCGATTGCACAAAACCAGGCATATGTTGTACGGAAGCACAGATAGCTCCTTGTTTCATAGCACGATATACTCAAACCAGGAGAATGCATCATATTAGTTTCGTAAAGATAAGAATTTTTGAAATAAAAGGTGTGTTGATTGCACTGAAAGAATTATGAATCCAGCATATCTGTGCTCGTAACAGATTTCTGTAAATTAAATCTTTTTTCACATTACGCGGTGTATCTTTTTCATCTTTCTGCATGCCTAACTAAACATAAAACATCGAAAGGTATGGACATTTTCATAACAAACTGTTAACACAGAGATATGTCTCGCCTTTTTGTATTTTGACAGTAAAATTCAAATGTGAAATTAAAATAGCAATACTTTAACATGCAAGTTATGCAAAATATTCAAAGTCAATGAACCACGACTGAAAGTACTGGGTCAAACAATCTCCACGGAAATGAGATGTGCCAATGCTAATACAACTGCATACCAAATATTGACCTACCAATAGTGGTTATAAATTGTCCTAATCACAAACAAATACATGTAAACTAAGCACTAAGCAAAAGTTTCAAAGTCAATATACTATGACTAAGGGGGCGGGGCCAAATAATCTCAATGGAAATGAGATGTGCCATTGTAAATACAACTGCATACCAAATATCATTGACTTACCACTAGTGGTTCTCCATATACTGACCTAATCACAAACTAATACATGTAAACTAAGCAAAATAGGTTTCCTAGTAAATAGACCATCACTTAGGGGGCTGGGCAAACTAATCTCCATGGAAATTCTAATACAACTGAATACCAAATATCATTGACCTATCACTAGTGGTTCCCCATAAACTGACCTAATCAGAAACTAATACATTGTTGGCGACGCCGCCGCCGCCGGAAACACCATACCTTTGTCTCGCTTTTTGACTCCGTCAAGGCGAGACAAAAGGTACCAAAAAGAGCAAATAATATTAATGTTTTCATTCTTATAGCCTAATTGGGTGTAACTGGAAATAGACTAATACAAGTAGTAGATGGACAACCAGAGAAGCAAATATCCTAGATCTTATATTTAAATTTCTGCATGTGTCTAGTTTAGTTAAAGCAATACGGGTTTGTTAATTCATAACATTGTAATTTCCATCATTGAAATCATGTATAATCGAACAACCTATAGTTCCTGTATTAATCCCTATACACCAGGGTCTATACGGAGTTTACAGAACAAATAAGAGAAAAATGGGAACAAAGAATAAAGAATACAAAATAATACGGTGCTAAAATATAGAGAATAGAGAATAATGGGCACAAAAATATAGAATATAGAAAACTGGCCTAAAAATAAAAAATACACATATGAAACCCCTCCATCCAGACCCTCGTATACGTAAAGCAAAGTTGGATGACGTGTGTTAAGACCTTGAAACAGTATAAAAAGATATCAAACAGACAGAAAATGTTCAAGAACTCTCTAACAATTCAAAAGAGAAAAAGTATCATTGCAGTGTAACAATTTACTCCAACAATTTAATAAAGATGGGTATTAATAGAGTACCAGGCATTTCGATCAACAAAACAACATATTCAATTCATTAACGACACTCTTTAAATGAAGATTCAGAAAACTTGGCAAACAGCTGCCTAATAAAAGATTTGATAAAGTCAGTCTCAGCCAACATTATATGTAATACTGCAACATTAAGACCATTACGTTTTCAGAAGAACGAATAAATATACGTAAGTAATCATTGTTGTAGTAAGAGGAAATCATTCTCCTTATCGGACCAGACGTCCTCCAAATATCAGAACTGCATCAGAGTTTATTTTAAATACTAGCCATTTGAGAAAAAAATTGAAAAGTTGTCTACGGCAAAATACCATAACATTCCGACTATAAACACGTCATTAGTAAGGCAGCATACCATTCATGGCCATATATTAGAACATTCAGCACCAGTAAAAGAATCTAGGGTGTAGAATTAACATCAAATTTGAAATGAAATCAACAGATCAATAATGGCTGCAACAAAACACTAATGGCATGTTCAATAACAGAAACATAAGTAAATGCAGAGACATATAATACAAAATATGTCTCTGGTAAATGTAACACTTAATCACATGTAAGACTCTGTGTCCAGAGCGATTTTCTGATTTGGAATAACACTGCATATGGCTAGAGAAATCCAATCAATTTTCATGATATACTAAGGTCACTACAATAATTGAATTCCAGAGAATATACTGTACGTAGTTGAGTGCCAACTCAAAGTGCGTGAAACACTATTTCATGCTTCACTCAGATTTGGGTAAAACAAGTGTCATAAAATATTAAATAAATACAGGTAAAGCTTAACTGAATTTACAATCACCACGAAGTCTCCCTATGTACCCTAGCAAAAGAGGTTGATGAGCAAGTTGATAGAAAGTGGAATAAAATGCTCCGCTGGGCGCAGCTTGATACGACCGCAGAGGTCGAACCCTGAACAGTCGGGGCAAGTATGGACACAACATTCAAGTTTGATACAGCACTGAATTTGGATTGTTGAATAAATATTTGACACAGCATAGGTTTCTGACACAGAATGAATGTGGTCTAAGAACTTAAAAATTTTTAATTTACCTATTCAAACCATATTATTATTATTTGCTTTTATATATAAATCAGAAATAACCAATTTAAAATGGAAAATTTAAAAGAAACCCCCCCCCCCAAAAAATTTTATGAACCCTCTTATGATTCATCACTCCCAAACTCAATCCCAGCCTTCCTTTTGTGGTATGGTACCTTGCAGTACAATTTCAGAGAGATCTATACACTTGAACACAAGTTATTGTCTGGAAACTAGAAAAATGCTTGTTTTTTTGCCCCTTTTTGGCACCAAATTCCTAAACGTTTAGGGCAATTACCCCAAACTCAAACCCAGCTTTCCCTTTGGGATATGGAACTTTGTAGTACAATTTCATAAAGATCCATACACTTACACACAAGTTATTGTCCTGAACCTAGAAAAATGCTTGTTTTTTTGCCCCTAATTCCTAAAATTTTGAGGCAATTACCCCCAAAATCAATCCCACCCTTCCCTTTGTGGTATGGTAACTTGCAGTACAACTTCAGAGAGATCCACACACTTGAACACGTTATTGTCTGGAAACTAGAAAATGCTTATTTTTTGCCCCTTTTTGGCCCCTTATTCCTAAACGTTTTGGGCAATTACCCCCAAACTCAATTCCAGCTTTCCCTTTGTGATATGGAACCTTGTAGTACAATTTCATAAAGATCCGTACACTTACACACAAGTTATTGTCATGAAACTAGAAAAATGCTTGTTTTTTGCCCCTTTTTTGGCCCCTAATTCCTAAAATTTGGAGGCAATTACCCCCAAAATCAATCCCAGCATTCCCTTTGTGATATGGAACCTTGTGGTACAATGTCAGAGAGATCCATACACTAACACACAAGTTATGTCTGGAAGTTACAAAAATGCTTATTTTTGGCCCCTTTTTGACCCCTAATTCCTTAACTGTTGGTACCATAACCCCCAAAATCAATCCCAACCTTTCTTTTGTGGTATTGAACCTTATGGTAAAATTTCATAGAATTCCATTCATTTAAACTAAAGTTAGAGTGCGAAAACCAATGTGTCTTCGGACGACGACGACGACGCCAACGTCATACCAATATACGACCTGCAGTCGTATAAAAATTGATGTATCATTCCATCTATTAATTCTTGGAAAGATGATGTTATTGTGCGATAGGTTGGGACAGTGCGTAAATAACAGGGGATTTAATGCAGTCAGAGTTAATAACGCGTATCCTTTACCATGGATTGATGACTCTTTTGGTGGTTTGTCTGGGATTAGATGTTATTCAACATAATATCTTTAATCTGGATATTGGCAGATGAAATGCGAGCCTGCAGATCAGGCGAAAGCTGCTTTTGCTGTTTGTGATAATTATGTAGATTACCTCTTGAAACACATGCATATGTTACTGATTGTTTCTAAAAAATGTATAATGTTATGCAGCAAGATACGGACTGTATGAGTTCATACTAATGCCTTTGGGATTGAAGGGTGCTCCGGCAAAGTTTAAAGGTTTATGGAGACAATCTAATTGGTTAACAATGAGTAATTTGTCTCATATATCTTGATGATATAGTAGTTCTAGGGCGTTCATTTGATGACAATTTTTTTTTGGAAAGTGCTTGATTAGCTTTGTGCAGTGGAAAAATTAAAATGAAAGCTAAAAAGGGGTGCTTGATTAGCTTTGTGCAGCGGAAAAATTAAAATGAATGCTAAAAAGGGGTGCTTGATTAGCTTTGTGCAGCGGAAAAATTAAAATGAAGCTAAAAAGGGGTGAACTGTTTTCAAAACAATTAATCTATTCGGGACACGTTATCTATCCGGCCAGAATTGTCTTTCACTTTATTTCAAGATCAAAAGGACAATATTATAAAATTGTTTTTTTAGTGTTAATATCAATTATCAAAATAAATTCTAGATGTCTTCATTTTTTTGTGTAGTTGAGTTGCAGTCTCAATGACATATTTCTAATATCTCATTTTATTCATAGTGAAAGTTTTTTTTATCTCATTTCATGTTGCCAGAAATTCCCATTCTAACCCATACCAACTCAGCTTGACATTATACAATATATGCTCAGTTGCATATATATAAAACCTCATCATCATCTTAACAATACACTCTTCTTAGTCAAATGAATGGAGCATATAAATTGTTGAAAAATATAAAATGTAGAAAGTTATCATGGTAGCTAACAATTAGAATAAGTTGGGGATAATCAATTTCAATACAAGGCAATGCTTATTACTTTTAGTAACAGTATGGATAAGTTGTTGCTAGTGAGATGATGAGGTATTATTTGTTGTAGATGATGAAATGACAGACACCAAGATATGGCTTATACTCATATAGCTCATTGGGCTAAGTCAGCACAAAACTTGATAAATAACAAAGTGTAAATTCATTTAAAAGCATATTTTCAAACTTAGCAATATATAAATTAACTAAAATCTGTATCAACATTATTCTTATAAAAATGAATGATATATTAAAAAAACAAGCAATGTTGCATGTTTTGCATGAGGTTATGAAATGATAAAAAAACAATTTCTTTCATTCATATTCTTATCACTAAACTGTTAATATCACATTATTCTTATTTACAGCAATTTGTGTCAATTTATCATTTAAATATTTTAATAACGATTTTTTTTGAACAGGTTGTCTTTTGCTTACCATGACATATATCAAAATTGCAACCAGTTTTCTTGTTATATGATTGCTATCATATAACATTAGTATTAAGTTAAAATGGAAGCACAAAATGATAAAGTTGACTTTGTGGCTATAGATATCAACCCACTGTAGGATCTTAAGCATTTGTATCAAATCTAAGATCAATATAAAAGTGTCATAACTCTTGAATTAACTTATCAAAATCAATCTTTGACAGCCTATAGTTAATGGTTAATGGTATTGTGTAAATGTTCTGATCATGCACATCTTTTTTTATTCAGAGACTTAAAAATGATAAGCTTAAGATATCAAAGAACATAATTGTTAATAGCTAAAGTAAATATTCACCCATTTGTTACCATCCTCATGATTGTGGAAAAGTTTCATTCTAAACCCAACACCAAAAAAAAAAAAAAATCATAAAACATGGTTATAACTGTAAAGTTTTGCACTTGACTGGATTGATGCTGATACCAGTAAGAAACCACCCAATAAATGCATTTCAATATCCTATAATATGATTGCAAGTTCAAAAATATAGATTTTAATATACAAAATGGATACTATATTCAAATTTTTCTTTATGAAAAATGACAAAAAAAACCAAGTTTTATGGGAATATTTCTTGAAATGTGGGTAGTGCACAATTAAAATATGTGCATTGTCATCTTTAAAATGAATGCAAAACAATTTGTATGGCTGATTTATATTCCAATTAAAAATTTGTGAGTTGATTACAAATAGTTTTTAGGGGCCTCGGTGGCCGAGTGGTCTAAGTAGTTACTACTGTAATCACTAGCCAGTCAACACTGAGGTTGTGAATTCGAACCCCGCTCGTGCGGGTGCACTAGACTCCAATCTTAATTGACTAGGATTGTCAGTTTTCCTATCAAAAGGTCGGTGGTTTTCTCCGACGCTCTGGCTTCCTCCACCAATAAAAACTGGCCGCCACGAAATAGCCCAAAAGCGGTGCTTAAAAGTGGCGTTAAAACACCAAAAATAAAAAATAAAAAAAAATAAAATAGTTTTTAAAACATAAGGTCCACAATTTTAGTATGTGTGCAAGCATTTTAATAATTGGTTTGAAAACTATTTAAGTTAATTACACCATGGAAGTATTATATTGTCAATATAATACTTCCATGATTACACAAAACAGATTACCTCACATGAAACTCGATACAAAATTTCAGGAAGCTCAGATTTATAGTTCCTGAAATGGGATAAGCTGTCAGGCAGAGGTGATTAGATATCTTGGTGTAATCAGGGGTGTGTGGAATTTAACATCGGTGTTAAATTTCATACACCCCTTTACAAGATAACAAATTAATTTCTAATGACAAGTTCCTTTAATCATTTTTATACGGGGTGTACAATGGAAAAATTTGTTCTTCCACTACACAATTTTACATACTATGGTAAAAAACTTAACATTAAATAAATTTGACATTGCTGGGTATATGCACAAGGACATCCCTTGTTTACCGGCTTTCCTGTGGCATTTGCCAAAACGTATATGCCTTTTTTTTTACCATTCACAGAGAGGTCTGATAGTTTATTCCTTCTATTAAATGCAGTTGATTTTCATACTTGGAGGTAAATAGTTAAGCTATGGTGAGGTTTTATTTACATCCAAATAGTTAAGTAATCAGATTGTAAGATTTTTACTTCAAAATGAATACAGCAATATATCCCCTCCCTTGGTATGGTGGTATAAATATATAAACAGTTGACTAGTTACAATAAAAGCAAAAAGGAACACAAGATCACTACATTATAACATCAGATTCTGGTGTCTCTGTTAAAGTGTTTATTTGTACCGAACTGTTGCTCCTCACAGATGGCGCTATTGTTGGATACTTCAGATGAATTCTGTTCTTCACAGTACCAAACAGAAAATGTCCTAATCCAGCTCCTGTAAACAAGAATAAAAATGAAATATTTGTTGTATTTGAATGATACTTTTTTCGCTGTTTTGGACTGTCCCAGAAATATCAACTATCAGATTTGTCATTAGACCTCTGGTCATGCACAATTTACATTTTGACAGTGATCAGGTAATGTAAACTCCTGTTGCATGAAATAATGAATGTGTTCCATAAATACAACATACTGCTATTACGACCACCTAAACATTCTTTTATCTGCAGGTATATTTGAGATATATTCAATAATAATATAAATATGACAATCTATGAAATAAATTGTAAGATTTCTTTGCCTGTTATGGTCTATTATTGTTGTAGTTATTCTGCAGTTTTGTTCTTTAACATATACATGTATTATGATCAACATATTGAAGAGAACTCGTCAAATCTCTGCTTTGGTCTTTCTTCCTTTTGTAGGGAGGTGGGAGCTTTTGCTCCCTTTCCAATACCTCATTGTGATTTTGAGATCAAGAACAGCAATAAAAACACTCTACCTTTGCTTAAGACATGTACATGTAAAGGTTTTTTTGTCATGAACTCATACACCATATAATTTTTTACATAAGGATTTTGTTTGATTCTATTTAGGGAGCTACCATTTGATTTTTATCAGGGGCTAGGATGAAAAATTTTGTCCTGTATTTTTTTTTAGTTGTAATCTCTGTCCTGACTTTTTATTTTTCACTTTATTTGGTCCTGTCTTTTTTTTTTATTAGTTTATCCTGATTTTTTTACATAAATTGTCATCCTGCCTTTTTTTTTTAACTCAAAAACTCCTGTCCTGCCTTTTTTTCAAACTGCCTTTTTTTCAAATTTCATCCTAGCACCCCCCCCCCCCCCACCCCATAAAAATCAAACTGGTAAATACAAAGTTTTGATTGTTTAAATATACACTTGTGATAGACAAAAACAAATACTTATTTCCATCCATTTTATTATCCATACATTATAGGAGATAACAGCTACTAACCAGACAACAAATATCCTCCTGTCCATACAGTATAGGACATACATCTACTAACCAGAAAATCACAGATACTCCTATCCATACATTATAAAACATGACATCTACTTACCAGACAACATTAATACTTCTTATATTCATTTTTATATGACATAACAGCTACTGACTAACACAGATATTCCTATCATACATTATAGGACATAACATCTACTAACCAGACAACACAGATATGTCTGTCCATACATATTAAGACATAGCATCTACTTACCAAAAAACAATAATACTTCTATCCAAACATTATAGGACATAACAGATACTTACCAAACAACACTGATACTTCTATCCAAACATTATAATACATAACAGAATCAGATACTTACCAAACAACATCGATACGTTCATCCAAACATTATAGGACATGACTGATACTTACCAGACAACACAAATACTCCTATCCAAACATTATAGGACATAACAGGTACTTACCAAACAAAATAAATACTTCTAGCCATCCATTATAAGACATATCATCTGCTTACCAAACAACACAGATACTCCAATCCAAACATTATAGAATATAACAGCTACCTATCACACAAAACTATACATTATAGGACATAACAGATACTTAACAGACAACACAGATACTCCTATCCATACATTATAACACATAAAAGCTACTTACTAACAACACAGATACTTCTAACCATACATATTCAGAAATAATTACCAAACAACACCCATATTTCCTATCAATACAGTATAGGACATAACAGTTAATTACCAGACAACACAGATACAACTATCCATACAATATAGAACATAACATCTACTTACCAGACAACATAGATACTCCTATCCATACATTATAAGACATAGCATCTACTTACCAGACAACACAGATACAACTATCCATACAATATAGAACATAACATCTACTTACCAGACAACACAGATACAACTTCCCATACATTATAGAACATAACATCTACTTACCAGACAATGCAGATACTCCAATCCATACATTATAGGACATAACAGCTAATTACACGACAACACAGATACAACTATCCATACAATATAGAACATAACATCTACTTACCAGACAACACAGATACAACTATCCATACATTATAGGACATAACAGCTAATTACCAGACAACACAGATACAACTATCCATACATTATAGAACATTACAGCTAATTACCAGACAACACAGATATAACTATCCATACAATATAGAACATAACATATACTTACCAGACAACACAGATACTCCAATCCATACATTGTATGACATAACAGCTAACATGATAAGAAATCCCAGGATAACATTTATGGTATGTGTAATGAATGCTAAACAGTGATACTTCAATCTGAAAATTAAAATAGAATATTTGTCAATTGACCAGAAACCCCTGATCCATGAGCACCATGGTTGTATATTTAAAAAAAGCATAACTCCAGAATGATATAAAATACAAACATGAAAATGAGGTCAAGAGACATAATAATCCAGTTGTCCATGTGACATATTTCAGATATTTGACATATATAGGTTGCATTTCTGTAAATATTTACAATGCAATTTCCCATAGGAACTCCTTTTACGGCTAAAACTGTACCACTTTTACTATGAAGTTTTGAAAAAAATCATATCCTAGAATAGAAAGTTCACATGCACTACAATTTTTTTCAAAGGTCAAAATATAGGGCTGTGCGGCATATTTTCAACATTTATATGCCCCGAACTTCTAAGAGTTTAAACTAACACTAAATTTCTTAACTATCCCTACCTTGACTAGGATTACCGCAGATTTCTATATAAACAATATGCATATGTATATTTACTGGTAACATTCCCAAGTTATGTCTCTATCAGATGAAACCTAGAGATCATAACTGGGAACCAGTATGTAAACAAAATTAATTATCTATGAATATTCTATATCCCCCCCAAAAGAGGCGTGGTTTGAGAAACAGTTGTATTTACAAAGTGCAACCTATACAAACATTTATTCCAATAGAAAACTCTCTAAAAACACTTTTTCTCACATTAATACTTATTTATCAGAATTATAGCCTTAAAGAAATCACTGCATAAACTCTTAAGTTTTCTTTTACTGTTCATTTGATACCCCCTCCCCTGTTTCAATTTTTTAAAGAATTTGAAAACATGACTTTAAATATTGCCAGCTTACCCTATTTGCATGTTTTCTGATATGAAATGCCTAGAACCTGTTTAAAACTGTTCTGATAACATATTGAAAGCATTTCAGAATACTGTAAATGTTATGTTTAGCAGTCAATCATTCCAACATTCAAGATTATAAAAAGTATCAAATCCTGCCTGTGTCTCCAGTCCACATTTTACTGTATGCCTATTTGTCAATGAAAGTTCACAATTTCTGCCTCAAATGGTCAGTTTAGAATTCTTGTCACAACAGTATCATCTCTAAACATATATCTGACATAATTTAGCTAATATATGAGCTAGAAGTGTTAAAACAAAGCCATATTTGCAATAGTTGTATGTATGCAGATACCAGTCTGATGTATAAATTCACTTAAAATTTTATAGAAATGACTGCTAACATCTAATTTTTGCATAACTTCCAAGCACAGTTATTGTTTTCTATATAAAGACTGTTAAAATCATAAAATCATAGCATTTACAAGTTAAATTATTTGTTTTATGACCCAGGGGGTAGGCAATTTTCTCTGTTTTTTGCCCCTGGGGCCTCAAATTTCCTAAATTATTCTGCTGTTTCTAGCAATATGGAATATTTAGTACATATTCAGGATAGAACACACTATTGTAAGTTTTGTTGAGATATTTTTGTATTTCTAGCTTGTATTTTTTATGCCGCGGTGACAAAAAAGCAGATTTAGGTGTTACAGCTTATTTTTGGGTTATCGACAGGACAAAAACACCCCACCAATAATATTCAAGAGGGATCTATGAGTTTCAATGACTGCGAAGAGTAAATATAAGCACTTCTAAACAATTTAACTTACAAATATGCATATATTATGAATTTATTTTGCATTCAGGGCTTTAAGTAAACTATGCATACTGTAAACTGTGAATTTATGCTGAGTCATCATAGTTAAAGCCCAGGATTTTCTCAATCTTCATGAAATATTTCTAAAACTTCATATTTAAGTTAACTTCTTTAAAATCTGTGAGACAAACCAAATTTGGTTAAATTCTGTATTCTCTTTTTTCACCCAATATAGGTTGCATTTCTGTAAATATTTACAATGCAATTTCCCATAGGAACTCCTTTTACGGCTAAAACTGTACCACTTTTACTATGAAGTTTTGAAAAAAATCATATCCTAGAATAGAAAGTTCACATGCACTACAATTTTTTTCAAAGGTCAAAATATAGGGCTGTGCGGCATATTTTCAACGTTTATATGCCCCGAACTTCTAAGAGTTTAAACTAACACTAAATTTCTTAACTATCCCTACCTTGACTGTAGGTTACCACAGATTTCTATATAGACAATATGCATATGTATATTTACTGGTAACATTCCCAAGTTATGTCTCTATCAGATGAAACCTAGAGATCATAACTGGGAACCAGTATGTAAACAAAATTAATTATGAATATTCTATCTCTCCCCAAAAGAGGCGTGGTTTGAGAAACAGTTGTATTTACAAAGTGCAACCTATAATCTGTACAGTGTTTAAAGTAAATTGAACTGAACAAGAGTAGTTGGCAAATGTCATTAGATTTTCTTCAGTTTTCTGATTTAAGGTTAATTTTATAAAGAAGCTGAATTCAGTAACATATGATATAGCTAATACTTTATTCAGAAACATTATCTCCAATCATGAAGAAATGAAAATATGCTACTGTGATCATATAAGTTATGTTCAAGCTCTTTTACGGTATTATCATCTAATACACATTAATAATATCCCAACTGTATAAAGTAAACTGGAATAATTTCATTCACACAAAATTTTCAAGCAAAAGATTTGTTAGTAGTACTACTCTCAATTTTTTTTAGACAAATTCATCTGTTTATATCTATAGACAGCTAGGGAGATACACATTAGAAAACAATTTCCCAGAAAAATAAGTCTTCTTGACCTTTATATAATTGTGTTCTCTAACATCTTTAACCAGTAATTTAAAGCAATTTTGTCACCTAATACCTCTTTTGTACATCAATTTCAAGAATAAATTATATATACTTGTTGGTTAAAAAACTCTTCTGTCTGAAAATATCATTACATTCACTTGTAAAGTGACAGTTTTCTCTACAAATTTCCAATTTGATGAGAAAATGCAAAAGTCAGTCAACATAACACCAAAACCAATATAACATAGACTTCAGAGGGAGAAATTATTTCTTCTCAGAGGCTACAGAAAACAATTTGACCTGCTAGTGAATTACATAAAAGTAATCTTGTGAAAGATTTCATCAAAATTCATTGAAATAAGATATATCTATTATCTATTAAGACAACATTTATGAATGCTTAAATGTTGAGGATGTCACCATCAGTCAACAGATGAATTCAATTTTTGAATTAGTTTAACATTTGTTGCTTAAGCACACCAACTTTTTAGCAATATCGTACTTTACCTTCTCTAATCTTAAATATTTAGCACTTGAAAAAAACTTTAAGACTAAGCATGCATCTCAAAATTAAGTCCAAAGGGCAAACGAAATATTTGAAAATATGGAGTAATGGTCCCTTTTTCTAGCTTAATTTTCAAATTAAAATTTAATGGCTATCATCACAATGTATCAAAGCCTTAACAATGATTAGATATGAAATAAGTATTTTTGCTTAAATATTGTCATATCAGCTTTCTTAATTTTCAACCAATTCGATGAAAAAATACAAATTTCAATAGTTTTTTAAGAACAAAAACATAAAGCACATGTATCGACAACAAAGTGTAACTAGTGAATCTTTTTGCAAAAATTATTCAGAAATAGTCCCATTTCACTTTTTACATATATATACATCAGCTTTAAACACTGACTTAATATTTGGGGAAGAAAAAAGGCCATGATTACAGAATTTACTTCTTACTTTTTCTATTTCCCCATCCTAGGCATAAAAGCTTTGTAGTTGCAAAATATAGAAATAGAAATATACTATTTCTCAGACTGTTTATGACGTCTTTACACTAAATCTGTTGGATGTTTACTGATTGGAACTTTAATAATTCTTGGAGAACATGAGTTACCGGTATTTATTAGTTGTAATTGGCATTGAATTTTGGTAACTGTGAGTACTCTAATATCTGTGCTTTGTATCTATCATTTTCAAGTTACATTTGTAGTTATTTTTTGTGCTTTGTACTGATCTATTGAGTTAATCAATCCATTTACAACTGATTTTTACATCGTGATGACCTTGAGGTCATCCCGATGTATTGCTATCGCCTAGATTTCCATTATGTAAATTAGTTTTGGGTTTGTAACCGATCTATAAACATGATAAATACGCGCACATAAACGAGTGCAAAATAACATTCCTTAACGTTTGATATAAATACATCTCTTCAATGAATACTGATAAAAATATTTTTGTTTACAACATAAATTAATAATATTCTGTAATTGATTTTGCGGGAAAATATGAATGCCTACTCGTATCCAATCTTAGAAAAATCGAATTTTTACAGAAAAGTGTCCACCATGCACTTGCATTGCACTATTTTTAGAATAGTAGAATAGAATGATATACAAATGGATTCAAATCATATATATATGTAACTGTTATTTTAATATAATATAAACAACAACTCAGTGTATACTGATTTGTATCACTACAATATAATAGTTATTACGGTGAAGTTGAATTTCCTGTCATTTATTCATCATCCACGCACGAACTTGTCTCAGAAAAAAATATATCTTTGTACATTAACCTCAGTTTTAGGTAAAGAGATATGTTGTTTTTTTCTGAGACAAGTGCTTTTGACCATCCTCAAGAACTTGTGGTCATCCGATGTTCAGTACTTCAGTACTTTGATTACAGTTTGTTCTTATGCTGTGCTGTTAAACCACTGTTCCAGATTAGGTGGAGGGTTGAGCACTCACAAACATGTTAACACCACAACTTTTTTTTATGAGCCTTACCCAAGTCAGGATCCTGTAATTCAGTTATTGTATAGTTGGTTATTATCTGTAATATTTTTTATTCGTAAATTGTTTTGTTATAACTTAGGCTATTCATTGTCTCCTTTGAATTGTTTTACATTTTGTCATGTCAGGGCCTTTTATAACTGACTTTCTCTTATGGTTTATAACTGACTTTCTCTTATGGTTTATAACTGACTTTCTCTTATGATTTATAACTGACTTTCTCTTATGGTTTATAACTGACTTTCTCTTA